GCAAAGGCTCTCAGTGGCAGCGCTCCGCGTTGAAAAAAACTTTTTATTATGGCGAGAAAAATTTACATTTTTGCTGTGCCAATTCGTAACTTTTTACTGCTGGAAATTTTTGACAGTTGCTCTGGTGCAAAAGAAGTTGAGCAATTAAAATCAGAAATTATACAAAAAAGACTTGTATTTACTGTCATTTATTCTTCTAGAACTAAAAGCCATGCATTTATTAGATGCCTTAGTAATAAAATTAGAACAAACAAACTCTTCAAAACCGTCAGGCCGGGTTGAAAATTTTCATTCACCTCATAGCTAACAAAAATTTACCATCCGTAGTACTTTTCTATCAATTCGCAAATACCGTTTGCACAAGAAAGGTTATGAAATGCGTTTTATTTAAATCGTTTAGAAAATGAGTCATTTATGTTTACCATTTTATGAGGAATTATTCAATTAATTTCGGTTTACACTATACTTTTTGAAACTATTTGGAGTTAATTATTTTTTGTTTCTTAAAAGCAACCCTGCGTGGTTGGAAGGCGTGTGTACCAATAATTTCATCCCTAGCATATTCATCCCCGAGGAAGGCAGTCGCCAAATTCACCGAAGGTTGGTTACTGGTTATATTGTGGTTGTTGGCTATACTAAAATAATAGCCTAGCAACAGGAAATGTCTAATCTAAATGTCGAAAATTTTTAACAAATTGTTTTTCGTGATTGGGATCAAAAAAAAATATTTGTTTATTCACACGATTGAGCAAATGCGCAATTGGGTAACACTCCCTTTATAAAAAACCTCTTGGCCAGCGTTGCCGAATTGACGATTTCGTTGTCATTTTGACGTTACTTAAGCCCAATGACGTTTTGACGATTTTTCTCTCAAAATTACGAATTTTTATTTCAGTTTTCCACTTAAATTAATAGATTTGTATGTATGTAGAAAATCTGTTAAAGGGAGACTTAATCCAAAATACCTACAATCATGAAAAAAAAATAGGAAGGTAGAACGGCTGAGATGAATTTTTCATATTCTTGACATTTGCAAGCAATTTAATTTCAAAATTTTACACACACATTCCTATTTTCAATCTCAAACAACAGGAACTTTGAACAATTCCTTTTTCTACTCTCAATTTAAGTTCTTTGTCAGGAGCTAACGTCGGTTGGGTTCTTTTCAGTGAAAGATTTCGGCAACGCTGCTCTTGGCAGTTGGTAACGCAAACCAATCTTTGCGCCCTCTACTGTGAAATTTTTAAAGTGATGTAGTGAAAAGCGCGCTTTGCCGCTCGTTTCTGATTGGAAAAGTGCATAAAGAAACGACACAATGCAACAGGGTGAAACCAGTGTTTATCACCCTATACTTCCGGTAGTGCATTCCAGTGACGCCCGGTAGTGCATTCCAGTGGAAGTTTTGTGATCTATCCCTGTTCTGACATTCATTGTTCCTTTTTTTGCTACGTTGTTGTTCCTTTTTGCTTTTGGCGGCTGCGTTCGCTTGGTTTATATTTTGTTCTTTGCAAATATTTTAATTAATTACAATACTGAATTAAACTAATAAAATAAAACGTTTATTTTTCACTATAAATGAATTGGCATTTCAAAAGTGTATTATTGTGGTGAAGGTCGGTATAATGCTCGAGGTGGGGGACTTTAAGAGAATTCAAAAAATCGGCGAAGGAACTTATGGCATCGTTTACAAGGCAAAGGACACAAAAACTGGCAAGGA